ATGACCAAATCTTTCTGCTGGGTATCTCAGGAAGTGCAGGTTCGATTTATCGGTTTTGAAGTTGAAGAAGACGAATGGATAAACGTCAAGAAGAACGTAAGACAACGATCACTCCCATGCGAAGCATCAGAATGTGTTGCAGTTCTTGCCGGAGATCTCGTACTTTGTTTCCAGGTTCTAGAATTTCGTTTCTCTTAAGCATTTCATTGGTGGATGTTATTACTTTTTTCGAGTATATTCCTAATGGGACATATTTTTCCATTGGATAACATCTTTAGGAAGGCAAAGATCAAGCTCTTTACTTTGACGCCATTGTTCTTGATGCTCAAAGAAGAAGACACGATGTTAGAGGTTGTCGTTGTAGGTTCTTGGTGCGTTACAGCCACGACCAGTCCGAGGTTGGACGATCATCTCTTTCTCTACCTGTCTCTAACCATTTAATATACCCATGAGCTCCATTTGGTTTCATGGTCTGGACTCTAAAGTAAAACCCTCCTCATTCACCTATTGTGGATTTCTTTTCTGTAATCCCAGCAGGAAATCGTTCCCTTGAGGAAAATTTGCCGGCGGCCGGAGACAGATTACAGGCTACAGCAACTTCACAGCGCTGGAAACGATTTGGCTAACTCGAATCAGTTCCAGAAACCCGCTCTCGATGCGGCTGCAAAAACCCCTCTTTCACAATCCGGCACATCAGTTCCCGTTGTTGCACCTGAGCAGAAAGATCCAAGCTTGATCGCCGCTCCAGCCACTTCGGTTCAGCCTAGCTCCAATGCAGCTCCTGTTCTTCCGGCTGGTTCTGCCTAGGTTGTCAGTTCTATCGCCTTTTGTAACCGTCATTTTCACAGTTACTAGTAGAGCCGTAGGGTTAACTTGGGATCAAAGGCTTTGTAATATTACAGAATGAACTAGTCATATAACTATTACTTGATCCTTCGTGTATGATGGAATAATTATGGTTTAGTCTGGTTTATTCATCCTTCGTGTGTATTGTATGAATCACTGATTAGGATCGAATTTTCTGAATTCAATTTGAACTGATTCAGTTCCCGTTAGTTTTTTTTACTTTTTTATTAACGCGTATGGTCAACCTAAACCAGGTAGATGATAACATTATCGATTTACTGTTTTAATTGTTAAACAATCATGCTCGAACATGTGGGAGATTGGCAATCATATGACATAACAGTTTTTACAGACAATTCCTATTGTTACTGAGTAACAAAATGGGAAGAAAAAAAGAAGCTTACAGACTGGTTTTTTTCCATCTTTTGTGACAAAGGGCTTAATTCTCTTTGAACATTTTATCTAGTGCTCTACATATCTATCTATATACATCATAGATGATTTTTTGTTGATCCCAGAACTAGTAACTACATTGGCGCTGATAATCTCCGGGTACTAGATCCTGCTCCCGAACCCGACCCAGATCTGGAAGGCGAATTAGTCGGGGCTTGAACCGGGGACGAGTTTAGAATCTCCTTACCAAGGTCTTTAATCTTGTTGATAAGCAGCATTTGCTCTGTCTGAAGCTGGACCAAATACTGTTCTTGCTCGTCCTCCAAACTCTCTAGCTCTCCTAAAGCTTCACTAAGACCTTCAAGATCTCCATCATCAATCAAATTCTGAAACTTTATCATCACCTGCTTCATCTGGTTCGATAGCAACAGAGCTTTGTTAAATGGGGAACCAGAGTCCGCGCTGGCACGTCTTGGAACCTCTGTGACTTTCCTCGTGACTCTGACACGGATCTCGCCACGTGTCACTCCTTGGAGAGGTATCCACTTGTCGGCAGTCTCGTTTGGCTTTAACCGTTGGTACTCCACGACACAGCTACCGATGCTTGAAGTTGGAAGCAGAGTGTTATGGTCTTTGACAAATAGCTCCAAGGAGCTCCCATCATCTGGAAACTCCATTGTCTGGTTCCATTTCGGTTCCAATGTTTTAAAAATCACCTAAAATCATCAAAACACAAGAAAACACCTGTTTAGTTTTTACCGCCTCTGTTCCTATAATGTCTCTTGAGTTCAAAACAGTTTCTTTATACCTTTGTTCTCTGTTTCTTCTCTCCATATTGAACTCTAACATAAGGGTCACTGGTTCCTCTAAGATCCGCAGCCACAAGATCCCGAGCTTCAACAAGAACCAGTTCAATCAAGCCTTTACTAGAATCCGCCTGCGATTAAACCGTAAAACAAACCTAAACATCAATGAGTAAAACAAGAAAACAGAGTGATGTTAACTGTCAACACATACTTCGCTGTACTCGGGGCTAACAGCTTCAATCAAAAGCTCTATTTCTCCAGAACTAACTTCTTCAAGAGGAACCCATATATGCATTTCGCTGTTATTGATTCCTTGAAGACTTAATGTAGCTGTACCGATATTGTCCGTGCCAAGCATCTCCTCTCTATAGCATTTCACCTTTAGTGATTCTTCTCCAGCTAACTCCTCGAACTCGAATTTCTGGTTCCACACACACTCTGCTGTGTTCAACGGCTTTGTCCTTTGTATAGTCTACACAACATTAAAAACGAAAAAAACTCACTTTTAAGCTTTTTAAAATCCTGCAATGGCCATTTTTAAAGCAAAATCATGATGAGATTACATACTTTTCCGTACTGTAACTTGACAGAGGCGTCGCATTTTCCAGTCTTGTCTTTAGAAACAAGATTCTTTCCGGATAAAACTATGACGATTATTTTCCGGCCGGTTTTCGAGAGGAAGCTAGACGAGCCATCGAGGGAGTGTAAAGAACTTGTATGAATGCTGTTCAAGCTATGTGAGCCGTCGGAGAAATGCCATTCTTTTAGTAGTAGCCTGACTGTCAACTAAATAACAAGAAAATACAATTTATAAAAGAGACAAATTTGAGAAGCAATACATAAAACATTAGAAGAAGTTGTATCTATACCTCGCCGGAGCTAACTCCTTCAAACGGAACAACCATCTCGACTTCTTGACCACAAAACTCCGCATGTTTCGCAATCACACCATTATCAGATCCAACAGCCCAAAACATCGTCGAATCATCACCTACGTATTTCATCTGTACATTCCAAGAAAGAAAGATGAAAATTAAACGGCCAGTAAGTAACAATAATAACAACTAATTTAACGGTTTTCTTAATCATTAGTTACCTTAACTTCACAGCTAGCAAGAATGTCGTATCTGACACTGCCAGGATTATTCTCATAGAGATTAAATTTAAGTGTCCCTGTATTGTCGTGTAAGATCATATTAAACGTCGACTGATAAGCTGGATTCGATCCTGATCTCATCTCGGTTCTTCGAGACAACTGTTCGAGTTCGACCTCCACAAATGTCTGAACAGGTTTGTCTCTACTGCTGTTGCTGTTTTCCTTGCTAGAGTCTCCAATATCAGTACTTCTCGAGGGGCTTCCGCGAAGAATGCTGCGGTGAAGATTGCTACCAGAGACCACGGTTACGTAGATGATTCCACCAATGGCTGTTTTGTGAAGATCAGTGGCAGGTAACGAGAAACATCCTCGGCGTGGCTCCACCATCTTCTTGTTCAATGTTTCCGTTAAGATTTTGACCTGAAAATGGAGACATTTACGATTTTAGCCTTTGTAACAGTAAGTATTTTGGCGGTAAGAAAAAATTAGATTGGAGATATGAAAAAAATGAAACGAACCAGCCAAGAGGAGACACCGGGAAGCTCTGTAGCGGGAAGAGATTGGCCACCGCCACCACCGAAAGCAACTCCGATTCTAACTTCAGGGTTCGATTCAAAGGAATAGAGCATTGCTCTTCCTTCAAGAGTAGGTCTAATCAGAATCTGCACAAAGATATAAAGTAAATCAACCGGGAAAACTTCTATGTCGAGAAAAAATTACTCTTTTACGGATTATGCGAGGTTTGAGGTAAACAATAGTTCCACTTACGTCGCCTTTGATGCAAAGACTGTTGACAACGATTCGTGCTGTCCGATTAAACGGTTTGGACAACTTGGCTTGCAACAAGATGCTTAGATCGGATGTGTCCCAATTGAAATCTAGTCGCATGATTTTCTAAAACCACCAGAGGAGAAAACAAAATATAAGATCAAAATCCAACATTTCTTTTCAAATATTTGCGGTTTAAGAAAACGAAGTAATTAAAACCTGTTCGCCTGATTGCGACCAATAAGTTCCCTGGAGTCCCAGCAAAGGAGGGCACGAACCAAGAGAAAACTCCACCAATTGTATATTTTCCTATCGAAAACCGATACAAATTTAGAATCGTCGAATCCAATAAAGGAGGTCTCAGGGATAAGGGAAAGAGTGCTTACTATTAGTCTTGATTTTCGTTGCCTCAATCGTTTCTGCGTTTTAGATAAAAAGATCAAACGTTAATGTTGTAAAAGGAATTACGACACACATTTTAGGTAGAAAGAGCATAACTAAGGATAAATCTCACCTCTACCATAGAAGCAAATCTGAGAGATAGTTTCTTGTTCAAGTAGTTTAGCCAAATTTCAGATAGTAACTTGTTCAGCCATTGGCAATGTTCCAGTGGTGTTGTCGTCTGGAGAAAAACAACAACACGGTATTCTTAACACATTGAGCGATACAACGAGAATCGCCAGGCCAAAAACTAGGGTAACAGAAATTCTCACCATCGCATTGAACACGTTTTGCCTCCACTTCCTGGTTAGATCTTCTGCAAGTATTGCTCTTTGGTAACTTCCATACTGCAGATAAACACATGAACACAGTAAAAAACACAGCAAGACCTAAACTTGAATATCCTAACTTTAAACTCAGATGTGTGCATATGAGCAAATAAATAAAACCCCCCCAACCTTTATTAGTATAACAGAAACACATGATTAAAACTCTAGCTAATATATCAAATTACATAAGACAATGCATCAATTTCAGATACTAAAAAATTGCAACTCTTCCATGTAAAGCAATTTACCATAACTATCCCCCTTATGAGTGAGAGACCAAACTATATATGTGTGTATATGGCAAGTTTGTTAAAGTTAGGTATACACAAAAAGCATAAAGCTCCCAACTTTATCTAAGAATTCTATAGTAATTAGTAACCATGAACCATCAAATTAACCGGTGGTTTAGCAAGAACCCATTAAAAACAAGAGATGGCTTTATCAAATCTGTAAGCTTGAAACCCATAAAACAATG